CTATTGTAATCTGTCAAAACGGCCATCATAGCGTGCTGGTACTGTAAGTGACAAGTTGTCAGGTATCCGCTTTTTCTTTTAGTTTTCGCTCTACAACAAAATTACGAACCAAAATTCTGAAGTTTTCGCGGTATTTTCTTTTCCAGTCAGACACAGATACAACAACTAACGCGGGAAAATAACATGGCGCCACCGTCTATGCGGAATAGGCACGGAACTAGAACCGAGCGTACTACTGGCTGTTTGAGTTTGTTCACTCAAAGTAAAAAAAGTTAGATACTTTTTACTCCAAAGATTAAAGAATGCACTTTAGGTGCTAACATTGGTTATATTGACGTACACATACTTTTAGAGCATGAGAAGTGTAAAGGTTATTACACAATCTGCCAGGGTTCTTTAAGTTAAAATGATTTTTATTATTATCGTGTCTTGACACTTGCGCGCTAGACGAACTTTTAAAACCAACTGAACTGAATTTACAACAAAGCCTCACTAAAATAATTATCACCTTTAAGTTTGAAGTTTATAATACTTTCTCAACAAACCGTTTACAATTAACTGTGTCTAACATTTTGATTTGGAAATCTCATATTTGCTTGCGGAATTCCCATTCTCGAAACATCGAAAATAGTGTTGCGCGCTATCGATAAATCTGGCCGGTCCGGTAATTTCGGCGCGGTTAAAAATTCTGGTTTCGAATTTAGAAATGAATGTTCCGGTTTAGGATTCAAAAAAGATTCTTTTGTATTCAAAAATGCTGACGTTTGGGATTGTAGCAAACTTCCCGGTAAAGGTTGGTTGGTTCGTTCTAGTCTAAACTGTAGATTCTGCTTCTCCATTTGATGGTGCTGCGTTCTGACTGCGAACCGGTTGACGTGTACGGGTATGGGGACAACAATTTTTGTGCCTGAAGAGTTTTTTCCGCCGGAATGACTACCGGACGCGAGGCCCGCTTTCACTCGCTTCCATTTTGCTCGTCGGTTTTGGAACCAGATTTTGACCTAGAAAAAAAAATTATGTTATATATTTATTTACTACGCTAGTACGACAGAGCGAGCGATGGTCGCCCCATCACGAAATTCATCACTGAGATTCACACGACCGCGTTTGAATTCTGTAAACCAGCTATAAATCGTCGTCTCGCATGGTACTTCATCGCCAAAAGCAGTTTGAAGCCGTGAGAAGCTCCGCTGAGCTGTTAAATTTCACTTAAAGTCGTAGAAATCATACTACGAAAATTTTCACGAGTTAAATCCATGGTGATGTAGACAACCAATTTCTAAAATGACGCCACAATGTAAAGACAAGTGACAGTCAGATGAAACAAACTGCATTCTACAGCCAAAGAGCTCCATTTTCAAATTTTGTAATTACTTTTTAAATATTGTTTATGTAAGTCGCCAGTTCCGGAAACTTATAGTACGCCCTATGTATTGTTCCGTCTTAGCATCGAGTATTTAACCAGAAATAGAGACGAAATGTCATTTAATTTGTTTGAAAACTATTCTGCCAAATCATTGCGGCGATAACTGCGCCCCGTGGGCCAGTCCGAATTCGAAACAACTGACTGGTGTCGTCAATGGTTTCACTTCAAGTCCTTTCGTTTACTTGAGCTTCGTTATAATGGACGAAAATTGCAGAATTACATATTTAATATTGAATTACCGATGAAATGTGATTCGGTTTATTTTGTTTTAGATGATATGATATCATCATCAGATGATAATTCATAGATATAGAAAAAAAGGGAAGATTTGGTATGGGGGCGTGGTTCGTGTCGCCTCGATATGATCTAAATGACCATATCGATGTGACACGCCTGCAAACATCGCCACAATGACATGGCGATCGTTGTACATACAAGATCTCAAGTAAAACGTGAAAATGTCAAGTTGTAGTGATACACATTGTAAAAATTGGAGTGAAAACAAAAATTTTAAAACCAGTGATATAACATTCCACCGACTATTTGCATTTTTAGTTACTATTTCTATTATAATTCAATGTTTTCGCTTTGTCTCCATAGAAATTTCTAGGCTCAAATATAGTGATGTCCATTTACGATGACTGATGTTTATCGACAATAAATTTTTACTGAAATGTTCGAATTTCTTACTTATCTTTGTAATTAAAGTCCCTAAAATATCGAAGCGAAAAACATTCACGTTAAATTGATTTCTTTTGTTTTATTTTATTATTATTATTATTACTAAACATTTTATTTCGAGTAATTTTAACACAACTCATATTTCGGACAACCGTTTCAACTTCATGTCAATTTGTATGTTGTTGTTGCTTGAAGAAAAATGTATGTGTATTATTGTTTTAGATAATTTAGATATTTAAATTCCATTATACTCGTAGATTAAACGTAGAGTATTTTTTTTACTAGTACCCCGCCGCGGCAACCGCGAGCAACCGTCACCACTACAGTCGTAAAACACGCCATGAAATGTGCTACTAATTTTACATACTTAACTATTACATTCTATAAATGCCGCAGTCCCGCGACAGACACGGGTGAAGACCGCTCCGTGAGTTCTTAGTGTAACGAAAAATTAGTTTCAGCGCCATCTAGCGTGTAATAGTTGACTATTATATACTAGTAACATTTTTACTAAAACGCCACCTGATGCTGAATGGCTGAACCAGGATGCAAAAATACTGAAATATTGTATTACTGAAATATTATACTCTTACTCAAGTAACTGTAAGTTTAATTTTGTTAAATTTTAAAAATGTGTTACGTCTTTTTCACGTTGTAAGTCCCACCCAATCAAAATCTTTAAGTTATGGTAGTAGATAATAGAGCGTAAAGTTTGAATTGCACACAAGCTAAAAAATGGCGAGTCCGGTACCTGATCTTACATAGCGTCAGTATATATCTCGCCTTTTTTCCTATATCTATGTGATAATTAGATGTTTTGCTGTTTTTCCCACACCACAGAATAGAACAGCCCCCTTTTGTTAGAGATATTATCTTTACCACAACAAATAGATAATATTTTTGGAATATACGGACACGTACAAGTACACACAGGTCAGTTGTTGGCGCTGTACTAGTTCAGCTTTCTAATTTGTAATTTCAGCGCAAAGGAGAGTTGATATTTAATAGCAGTTTATCTACACACATATTATAAACTCTCTATAATGTGTTCCAAAACCGCAAATTACGACCAGCATAAAGCTGTTTTGTTAGAACAAATTTCTGTGAAAATGTTATTATTGCTTCATAATAACATCGAATTCGATGTTATAATTACATTCAAATTTCGAACATCGACCTCAATTCTAATATCCGAGGTGATGTTTTATTCGAAATGAAATGTCAATAGCAAACAATTTTGACAATTTCACACGTTATTTGAGATCGAACGATATCAAGTAACGAGTAAGAACGAGTTGGGGCCGACTCTAGTTTATCTATGAATTAAAAATATAAACTACGGTTGACTTGATATGACTTGTGAAAAACTTGAGAAACTTGGTATGACTTGTGTGCATTGACTTACAAATAAATGGACGACGGGTCTAATACAAAAACCACGAAAAAAATGTCCCAAGTCAACCTATTCGAAATTTAAATTGTTATGTCATCGCAGTATCGCGCTGTCAGTAGAACAAATGAAGACTAAAGCGGAGTGTCGCGCTCTGTATACGATTTTAGCGCCATACAAGTGCGGACACTTTTTAGCGCGGACCCGACGTCCATATAATTGTAAGTCAATGCTTGTGTGAGAAAAAGAATTGAGGTCGAATCAAATTGTTTTGTTTTTCAGAGATGTTCGAAATTTGAATGTAATCTTAAAATCGAATTTGACGTTATTATTATGCTATATAGCATTTTCACAGATAATAAATTTGTTCTAACAAAATACTTAATTTTATTCTGGTCGTAATTTGCGGTTTTTGAAACATCATAAGTATGAAAATTTAAGCTAATTATAAATACAAAAGTCGAACACTCAGACAAAAAACCTGCGATCCGGCCGGATTCGAACCGACGTCGACGTCGTTCGAAGCTACGGAACGAAAAGTTGGCGTAGAATCCGGCCGGATCGAAGGAATTTTTTCTAAGTGTTCGATCTTTATATTAATAATTATAACATCGATAGATCCAGTGCAGACATTAGCAAAGTCAGTTACAGATCTATTTATACCGGTAGTTTAAAGCATCATGTAAGTAAGCAGTAAACTAACCTGAACTTCGCTCAACTTCAGCGCTGCAGCGATTTGTGATCGCTCCGTAAGACTCAAATACTTTTTAGCATGAAACTCTCTTTCAAGCTCTAACAGCTGTTCGGACGTGAACGCTGTGCGACGTCTACGAGCCTTGCTGCCTTGTGGTGCATCCGTGCTCGAGTCTTCTTGATCTGGTTCCGAGTCGTTACCTTTAAAGAATAAAATAATGTTATAAATTATTACACTTTTTTTATAAAAAAAACATTGACTTACAAATAAATGGACGACGACGGGTCTAATACAAAAACCACGAAAAAAATGTCCCAAGTCAACCTATTTGAACGTAGTGACATGTAAAGGAATATGAAAAAGCTAAAACGTTGAATTTAAATTGTAATGTCATCGCAGTACTGTCTAATTTTGTTTGCTTCGCTGTCAGTCGAACAAACGAAGACTAAAGCGTGAATGACGCTCTGTACACGATTTTAACGCCCTATAAGTTCGGACACTTTTTAGCGCGGACCCGACGTCCATATAATTGTAAGTCAATGAAAAAAAATAAGTTTTTTTTATAATACTAAGTGACGGGTTGAACACGTCGTGGTACGCGACACGTCTGTTCATAGCAATTGCAGTGCGCCCGTCAACCTGAGTCATAAGTTGACAACTCGCTTACCTTTCAAAACCGTAACGCAGTAATGTTCATATTACTGCTTGGCGGCAGAAATAGGTAGGTAAGGTAAGGCAAGTAATACATGATAATTTATTAGAATAGAATAGAATACGTTTATTTACCAGTATACAGTATTTATACAGATCTTCACACTCACACACACACACACACACATACTTTTTATATACAAATGCACACACATACGTTTTAAGATTCAAATTAAATTTAAAAGTTAAGAAAATTGAAAATTGTTAAAAAAAAATTGGAAAATTGAAAATTGTTAAAAAAAAAAAATTTTTGTTTTGTCGGTGTTTGGAAATGTAAAAATTAAACACTACATTAAGTATAAGTTAAAAATGTTAAATATGCATTTAGCTATGGAAGAGCGGTGCCTTCTGACACAGGCTTGATAAGCTTAATAGGAGGTACCATCCACTGTTAATTTAAAGTTAATTGTATTACTGAAATAAACATTTATTATTATTTATTATTATTATTATCTTGAGTAAAATTAGGTACATTATATTCAATCTGCACGCAAATGTTAATCATATTTCACATTTGTCTCTACAATAACAAAGCAATATGCATGTCGAATTAACATCAAATGGTAAATGTAACTTCTAAATATTCTTTATTGCTTTAAAAGCAATATGTCAAATGCCATTTTGTCAATTGTGATTTAAAAGTAATTCCTTGTAGTGATTTAATTACATTAGATAAATTACTGCGATGACATTACAATTTTAATTCAACGTTTTAGCTTTTTCATATTCCTTTACATGTCACTACGTTTAAATAGATTGACTTGGGAAATTTTTTTCGTGGTTTGTGTATTAGACCCGTCGTCCATTTATTTGTAAGTCAATGTTGATATCATATATACACAGATCACATAACAAGTCTAATAATTTCTTTTTAAATATGTTTAAGGGTAAGTCTGCGAACGCTGCAGGCAAAGCATTATCTTTGTAGACATATTATAGCAATTTCTAAAAAAGCAAGTAGAGTTATGCGAGGGGCCAGCAATGCGGTTGGGATGTCGATTTTAAAAAGTACATACTTCACGTTTCTTAATAAATCATTATGTTGTATTGTGTATTTATTTCTTAATCCTGTTTTAGGTATTCGATATTCAGCCGAACAGTGAGTCAGTATTCGGTATTCTTTCTTCGGAATTATCTCTAGTATAAACGAGCGATTCGTTCTGTGTATCGTTTAGGTTCTCCAGATGGGTTTCCCTTACAGAAAATCTTTTTTTAAAGAGACTAGTATCATGACTGTGGCATCACACTACATTTACTAAAATATTTTGTATGCGCGTCCATATTATTAACCTTAGTCATAGTTAAATAAACGGTAAAATTTTTACACTCGAAAACGTCAATTTTTAAGCTATGATTGTTCTCTGTTGCCGAGTTCCCTGAGAAGAACGAGCAAGAAACTCTAGGGATTGCTCTTTTCAAATAAGCTTAAATGCTATGGAATATACTTTGAATCTTATTTGTGTGGAATCTAGGCTCATATTGTCTTTCCATACATCTTTATCTAACACGTAGTCATATTAAAAGGTCATATTACAAAATTAAAGACTACATGTTATATAAAGGTGTATATGAAACCTTTTTTCATGAGTCTAGATTCCACAAATATGATTCAAAGTGTATTCCATAGCTTTTAAGTTTATCATATATCATTAAAACATTTAAGAGCGTGCCCTAGAGTTTCTTGCTCATTCTTCTCAGGGAAGTTAGCAACATGAGCAGTAGTTTAAAAATATGACGTTTTCAAATGTGAATGTATTTTTAACCTACTTTGAAAGAAGCAGTAGAGCTCCTAGTGAAAGAATTTCTGCCGCCACGCAGGAATGTGAACATTACTGCGTTCCGGTTTTGGCGGGTAGGGGTGCTAGTGAAATTACAGGCACATGGGACTTGTCAACTTCTGTTTCAGGGTGTCTGGGGCAGTGGCAGTGCCCTTCAGATCTTTGTGATTTAAAGCTCTGAGTGGCACTGTAACTGCACCACCAGGCGCATGACTTGTTCGTCCCGTCATCGTCACATAGTTAAACAAAAAAAAAGCACGGGGTTCTTTAATCGATGGTTTTTTTTTCTTTTTTTTTATTGTGACTCGGCAACAGACTGTACCGCGCCTGATGGAAAGTGCGAATACAGTCCAGAGATGAGAGTATCCGTTACTCTCATCTCTGGAAAACACAAATATCTTCACTCCGTCACTATCATTTTGCCGGTCTGGCCAAATGCTTCTTCACACTACGTTTGAAGGACCCGATGTTATAGAGGGGAGGGAATACATGCGCCGGGAGTTGGTTCCACAATTTGATGGTTTTGTGGTGGTTTTTTTGTATTTATGTTAGTCGATCACTATATGTGAACCGATTTTGGTGATTGTTTTTTGTAGGAAACAGGGTACCTGGGTCCCATTTGAATTCGAAGAATATATTCCACGTCATAAAAAATCGTTTCAATGAATCGGAATCGGTTATTACAATAAAACTTGGCAAATAGGTGTAATTCCATTAAAAAAGCCGATAAACAATGCTTCGATGTCAGTTTTTTTTTAATAAACAAGTTATAATAACTATGAAATAAAAAATATCTTGATTTGCTTGCATTAATTCGGGACGGGGTACAGGTATTTAATTTTCGATAGTTTTTTCTTATTACTGTCAATTAACAAAAGTAATTGTCCATTTAACAGTACAATCACATACAGCTGGAATAAAAATCAAAACAATATCATTAGACATTCCTATACGTTATACATTTTCCATGAAAACGCAGCCATTTGCAAATAGGTTCTACATTCAATTCTTTACTTATGGCCGCTTTGAAGTCGATTGACAGGTATCGCATACGCCAAAGGAATCGTAAAGAATGAAACAAAGTTGTGCATGCAGTTCGACAATTTAACACCCAAACGACATAACACAAGGAATATTTTTTTTACTGGTAAATTTAAAATTGTCATATAAGGAATCGTAGACGATGAAACAAACTTTTATTTGTGGTCAATTAATTACAATGCAAAGGTATTTTGAATGGATAATATATATTTGAATGGTAAAAATAAATTTGTTGTCGAATAAAGTCCTCCGCCATAGCATCGCGCTGTGAATTCCAAATTCAAATGTTCAATCGTTCGAAAACTAAATGCAGTTTTATTGGAATCAGATTTATCGGTAAATTTCGGTTTTTTACTTCACGGAAAAGGATCACGTTTTGAAATGGTTTAAATTTTTCGCGCCCGATTTTTGAATTTTATGTTGTGCAGGTTTTTGCAATTCAAATGAGGTATTGTATTTCGATATTTTGCAAATAAAAATGTCAATAATACGTCTTGTTACATAATCTTCGATGTTTTGCAGATAGGGCGAAAACGATTTTTCGGAATATTTTTCTGGAAAGCATATTTTAGGTTTTCACGACTGTTTTCTGAAAATATTTATGTCCTGTTTCAAATTAGATTTTAAAACTTAAACTTAAGAGGACGTAAGTAGGTATTTTCAAAACAGTCGTTAAAACCTAAAACATGCTCCTCTAAATTTTTTTCTAAATGTCGCTTACACCATTTTTACAAAACAATGACACTATACAGAGTGAAAATAATCAATGGGACTTAAAGAGTAACCCTAAAAGCTCGACGTAGCTAGACATTTTGAAACGCTTACCTAAGTCCGGAATCAAACCACCGGAAAATGCAATAAAGACATCCAAAAGAAACCTTATTTTTTTATACGCACACTCATAGCGCTAGGGAAACTCACGAGATAAATAAATGTAGGCCATACAAATTCCTTAAATGTTCATGCGGTCAGACTTTGGAACGCACTTCCCATTACTGTACATGATAGTAAATCCTTAGCCATCTTTAAAATGCGAGTCAATGAGTCCTAATTATCCTCTGTTCCATCCATTTTATTGGTATTATAACATGAAATATATATTTATCTAAGTATTTTTATAGTCCGTAGTAATCATTGACTTACAAATAAATGGACGACGGGTCTAATACACAAACCACGAAAAAAATGTCCCAAGTCAACCTATTTAAACGCAGTGACATGTAAAGAAATATGAAAAAGCTAAAACGTTGAATTTAAATTGTAATGTCATCGCAGTACTGTCTAATTTTGCTTGCTTCGCTGTCAGTCGAACAAACGAAGACTAAAACGTGAATGACGCTCTGTATACGATTTTAACGCCCTATAAGTTCGGACACTTTTTAGCGCGGACCCGACGTCCATATAATTGTAAGTCAGTGGTAGTAATTTAATGTTTTCAATTTTTTTTTATTATTTTATTACATAATTCCCATTATCGAATACAAATATCCATATGTGAAGTGCCATCTTTATAGTATTTGGTTATTCTTGTTTTAAGTGTAGCACCAATCTATTTTTTTCTGTTTGGCCCATGGTTGCTTGTAGATGCTTTAGAATAGAATAGATTGAATAGAATAGATTGAATAGAATATTTTATTCATAGACAAAAAACACAAAAATATATAGAACGA